TTCTAGTATCGAGCAGCCTTTTATAGAAATATACGACAGCGCCAGTGGCGCCGTTCCAATCGGTCACGCTATCGGAACCGAACGCCCTCGTTCGAACGGACGGAGATCCTTTGCATTGATATTCCGCGAACGGCCAGACGGATCCCGCACTGCATAGGTCGCCTGAGCGATTTTCCGCTGCACCCTCCAAGGACCCACGAATCGCGGATGGACGCTTCTTGGAAAGGTCACGACGGACCCGGGTTATTCGAACCAATACTCTTGACCATCATGGAAGGAAGCAGGTTTAACCCCTCAACGCATCGAAACGATTCTTCATCCGATCTTGAGCTACCGACAGGTTCCGATGACCCTCGTGACGCACTTGTCTTGCTGAACGGAAAAGTCTTTCTTCCCGTGGGGGCTCACCAGGCAAAACTGCGGGAAACCCGAATAACATTTCGAAAGGAGTTTCCCGAAGCGATTCACTTATAGTCGTATGCATCGAGAACGCTATCTTCGGAATCACATCTCGGACCGCCGTGTGACCCTCAAGCACGAGGGCAGACAGGCGATCCGTCACGGTTCGCACGCTCCTCTCGGCGAGACCGTTACACTGGGGGTGGCCCACTGACGTACGAATGTGTGAGGTACCAACCCTCTGTAGGTAATCAGCTAAGACGGAGCCACGGAAGCACGTCGCATTGTCAGTAACAATCGTACCTAGATGCCCAACCGAATCACTTATAGTTTGGAGGGATCGCACGACGAAGGGAGCCGAAATCCGTCCACTCGCGAACAAATGAACGTAGCGTGTACAGTAGTCGACCACCACCAACACATACACCGGCCGATTTCCCCCGGGAACGTTGAAAGGGCCCCGCAAAAGTCCCAGTCCCCACTTTTCTCGAAAGGTCTTTGCGGGTGGTGCGACTGGTTGCAGATCGCCCACATTTTGTGAGGGTGCTTTGCACTGTTGACAAACCACACAGGCTTTAACGTACTGCCACACTCGACGATGTAGCCCCCTACCAAGATCGAAGCGCTTATCTGGAGTGCCAAACTGGTAGTTCCGACGAGGTTCTACAAACTTATCGGCTACTTCCATCAAAGCCTCGAAGTTCTCTGGATTTGAGGCGACGACGAAATTCCGGAACTCAGTTGAGTTGCAGGAGTTTTCGATTTCGTCGACGAAATCCAGGATGTTGAAAGGGATATGAACATCTCTCATGAGAGAGTGTTTCTCCCTGATGAATCTCGTAAAGGATTCCTCTGGCTGACGTTTGCGGCGGTAGAACTCAGCCGGAGACCGTCTTTTTCCTTTGGGGAACCGTGAAAACAACTGTATTTTGAAGTTATCCCAGCTGGACTTCGGTCCTACTTCTGTAGTGAACCAGCTTTTTGTGTCTTCATCCATGCTACGGTATGCCAAGCGCAGGGTTTTTTGTTCTGTCCAACCGTTCACCATAGCGTCCATTTCGAGCCTCTTGATCCATTTCTTCGGTTTCTCAGGGTCGCATTGCGGTAGGTCACTTACGGGGAGGAGATTCTGAAGATTCTCCAACAAGGATGCCAAGTTTTCCATCGTGACTACTTTCTGTACCACGATGGGTGCTGTCTGGGCCTGGTTATCCCCGTCGCTTTCCATTACCGCTGCCACCAAGTTGTTGCGGAATAACGAAGGTGGTAGGAATGAACATTTTATTCTAGTATCGAGCAGCCTTTTATAGAAATATATACGACAGCGCCAGTGGCGCCGTTCCAATATATGCCCATATCGATATCAATTGATATCGATATATCGATATTTGTCCAACACACATTGCGTGAATTCGCAACAGTCGGCTCGATCGATCCCTTGGATTGATGCCGCTGGTCCTCTGGAGCTCATCAGCAGAGTTCAGCAACAGGATTGTGGATCATCAGATGGTCTCGTGGAGTGCGCTGATTTTGAGAGGATCGCTTCAATCTGCGACTCTGACGCCCCAGCTGGTGTCAATCGATCGAAGCTCGGTATCCATCTGAATTCCATGTTGTGTGGATCGCTCCCATCAGCAATTCTGACGCTCCAATTGGTGGAAATCGGTCGAAGCTCAGAATGACATTGTCGGGTTTCCGCACTTCGGATCCACCGGAGAACGCCGAGGGAGAGGGCTTCTACCCATAACTCGAGCAAACCTCAGTTCCACTCATCTACGCGGTCCACATGATGGTCTGGTGCAAACCCCCGGGGCGGAATCTCCTTCCTCCGAGATCAGGACCCGCCTGGAAAAATTCCGTTGGCGCGCACCTTGGTCGTCATGCTTGAGCGAACCACAAAGAGTAACGAAGTTGGGGATCGTCGTCAGCGCGGACGTCGGTCGCCTCCGTGGGGAGCGATGCAGTCTTCGATCGAATCAGAATCGGCTCTTTCTCAGCAGGAAATGTCTGAGTGGATATCTGTGAGTCGGCACAAGAGATCCGGTGACATCTTCGGAGGTGCCAAAGGCCTGAAAGACGGTAAGAGAAGAGAGTATATATTCATTCCCTCATGGGGATCCTTCCGCGACCATGTCCCGATTTCTCGCTTCGATCTTTGATTTGACTTTTTCTGAGACCTCAAATGGTTGATGAGTAAGTTCCGTCTTCAATTAGGGCCTGCCGAAGCTGATGATAGGAGATCAATCGAGGATTTCGTCGCCATCGCCAGAGGAGCTAAAAGTCCACTGAAAGCTCTCTACGGAGCTTCATGGTTCATATCGCTGTCCCAGACAGAGCTATCGGGTGAGCGCCTCGCTGTTCATCGCACCGGGATCTTTCCTATCCGGAGCAGCGCCTCCGATCTCCGATTCCGGTAGTCCATGATGGGCCTGAAGCTGAGCTTCACTCTAATTCTCCAGTTGAGGATCTCCCAAGCTTCCTGAATATCCTCGATAGTGTTCTCGAGCGAACTCAACCCTCGAATGAGCTTTCTGAGTTTCTCGTGCAGTCCTTGGTGCACAAGGAACCGAAGTCCGCACTTGAAAAACTACTGGAGGTTGAATGCTACGATCCGGCCAATCTGATCGCCATGTGTCGATACCTCGAGCTTGTCAAAGTGAGCTATTCTGGGGTAATTTGTTCCAGCTTATGTTCGATTATCTTCGAATGACTCCGATTTTCGCGCGACACGATCCTTGTTGGAAAGATTCTCGGGAATTAAGGTCCCGAATTTCATCAGGCTTGGCTGGTCCGGGGAGTTTTCCGTTGAGAAAGACCGACTCCGGAGTATCGCAGCTGTATTCTATCGTCTCTAACTGGAAAAAGAGAACATGGTTCAACAGATCGAGCGTCGCATCTCCTCGTGACTGAATACATACAGGACTTCCTAGAAAACTTCGAGCTCTGCGACTTCGAGGAACTATCCATCGGCGGCTATCCGAGCGGCCGCAAACCTCCGGAAGATTTCCGTTCGATACCAAGCTTCCCCCGGAGTCAGGATGTTTACGGAGATCTTCCTTTCCTGCGACCGAATATCATCAAAGGTCAGGGAGCTTCGGGAATATTGGATTCCGCTCGATGAGAGTCGTCTCGAGGGAAATGTAAGTGACGAGTTGACATCCCCCTCACAGGACCTTACGAGGATCTGAATGCCTACTTGGACATCCATTATCGCCTCCTTCGAGAGGAGTATATCGACGCTCTGAGGAATGGCATTCGGAATCTCCGTAAAAACGAGTTCACCCACGATTTGGTGAGATTTCAAGGGAAAAAGATAAGAATCCATGGTTCCGTGGACGAGGTGAGTGATCCTAAACCTTCAAATTGAGACATGATTGGACCAGTCAGCATCATCTGCGCGTTCGACAGCCCTAGCTCTGGTCTTTTTTTCTGGTCCTGTAGTTCGGAACGAGCACCTTCCGCCTGACCGCCAATCTTGGACATGTCCGTGACTTCAAGCAGGGAGTGTTGGTGGCCATCCCGAGACATGGACTCGACGACTTGATCTATGCGATTTGTCTCAGAAACGAAAATGGTGAGTTCACTCTTGGAGGTGCAGATTCCCGCCGCGATTTTCCATTATTTGCTGTGTTGGTCGCTCTGCTAAGGCTCAAATCTCAACTCGAAGGTCAAGTCAAACTGGAGTTCTGCAATGCGAAGGAGATCCTGTCCGTGGAGGTGGAGAAACCCCATCAGATGCTCGTTCTGAAATCGGCCTACTATGGAGCGTTCCGATACAGCCTGGACGCCCTTAAGAAGATAACTCACCTTCCGTTTCAATCGACCATAGTGTCCGTTCAGCGAGATGAGCTTCCCCCTTTGCACTGGGTCAAAGCGGATCGAGGAACCCTGCTGAGGGAGAACCAGGATATCTTGAACGAGTCGCAATTCGAGGCATTCCGCCAGACGCTAGCTCAGAAAGTCTGCCTCATACAAGGACCCCCGGGGACCGGCAAGACTTATGTCGGCTTACGCATTGTAGAATCCATTCTTCGGCACAAGGTGACCGCTTCGCCGATCTTGGTGGTTTGCTACACGAACCACGCGCTCGATCAATTCCTCGAAGGTACGGAACGCTGTGCAATGCCTTCGGAAAGCGACCTAGCATCGAATCGAAGAAGTCCAGAGATTCTCCTTTTTTTATTCCCCCGAGCAGGAATGCTGAAGTTCACCCGATCCCTGGTCCGAATCGGGGGCCGGAGCAAATCAGACCTGTTGGCTCCAGTCAATTTCGAAAACTTGAAATCGGAGTCGGACCAGAGGCCGTATTTGACCAAAGTGGAGTGGCGCCAGAAATCCGAAAGTCTCAGTCAGATCGAGTCATGTCGCAATCGACTCCGCAACGACGAAACTATGCTAGCATTCATCGAGGGGTGAGTGCAGCACGATTCTCGCCTGAATCGACGCGGGTGAGGTTTCCTGGATGACCAGCGACCTCACGAGTGGTCTCAGCTCAGTTAGACATGAGTCGCATCTTCTTTCCCTCGAAAGGCGGAGTCTTTTCGACAAAAAAAGCAAGTTCTTCAAGGATGCTGCGGGCCTCGCCAAATACACGGGAGATATCGCAGAGTTCCTCGAGCTCTACGAGCTCTGTCGGCAAGCCGTAGCTGACAAAAGATTCCAGGGAAGCAACCCGGTCCCTCAAGGCGACCATGTGGTAAGTGTCGCTCTGAGAGTCTGCCTTTCTATTGAAGCCGCCGAGCCATGTACGAAATCTCATCTCTCCTCAGAGGGCATACATTAATGCCAGGATGTGCAGCGGGGACCTCCGTGAGAAAGTCGTTGAGGAAAGAATGTGCAAGAGTATGTCTCTGAACCGGTACGCCTTTTTGAAGGTCACCGAGAAGCTCATATACCAATATGGTCACAAGGTACTTCGCGTTCCACGAAGTTTGAGGTGACGGGGCCGTGCGGGCGTTGCAAACGCTGCTCCGCGTATACGTCCCGATCGTTGATATGCCGAGATCTGCGCCGAGACGCTCGACGGCTCACTTGTAGCTTTTATTCCCATAGGGCAATAAACCGCGACATAAATTGACACTGAACGAGAAATGGCGGTACTACGCAACCCTACATTGGCGGACTATGATAGAGGATGATCGGTCCGGTCTCGAGCAAGAGGACTTGGTTGATCTCGCAAGATTCGAAGCGAAACGGCAGAAGTTGAGAGAGCTCTTCGCCGAGAGCCACAAACGTCACGCCGAGCGGCTCGCGTGAGTTGCGGAACTCTGCTTCTCTTCTCCATTCCTCAAGACGGTGAATAATTCTTGGCG